AACAATAGCTATCACCTACACTCCTAGCTACTCAGGTGGCTGAGATCTGGAAGATTGAGGTTTAAGGCCAGTGTGGGCAATAAAGTCATCAGACTCCATCTCCAAAAATAACCAGCAAAACAACAACAACAACATAAAAACTCATGCCAGAGCCGGGCGCTGGGGGCTCATGCCTATAATCCTAGCTACTCAGGAAGGTGAGATCTGAGGATTGTGGTTCAAAGCCAGCCTGGGCAGGAAAGACCATGAGACTCTTGTCTCCAATAAACCACCAGAAAACTGGAAGTGGTGCTGTAGCTCGAGCTGAAGAGCTGAGGGACAGCACCCAAGCCCAGAGTTCAAGCCCCATGACCGACAAAAACAACAATAACAAAAATAAAACAAAAACAAAAAACTCGGGGCTGGGAAGGTGGATCAGTGGTAGAGTGCTTGCTTGTTTTGCTTGCCTGAGGCCCTGGGTTCGATTCCTCAGCACCACATAAGTAAAAAGAAAAAAGCCGGATGTGGCGCTGTGGCTCAAGTGGTAGAGTGCTTAGCCTTGAGCTGAAGAGCTGAGGGACAGCGCCCAGGCCGAGTTCAGGCCCCACTACTGGACCCCAAAAAAATCAACAACAACAACAACAAAAACTCATGCCTTTGTGATCCACCATCAACTGCTATCATCTTGTGCCTATCTATTGATGTTGTCCTTTCTGAAGGCAAAAGCTGTTATCAGGTACAGGGCTGATAATGCCTTTTTATGTGTATGTAAGTCTGTGTAATTTTTGATAATTTGTTGTTGTTGTTGTTAGTCACGGGGCTTGAACTCTGGGCCTGGGCGCTGTCCCTGAGCTCTTCAGCTCAAGGCTAGCGCTCTACTACTTGAGCTCTTGCAGCACTTCTGGTTTTGTAGTGGTTAATTGGAGAAGAGTCCCATGGACTTTCCTGCCTGGGCTGGCTTTGAACCATGTTGCTCAGATCTCAGCCTCCTGAGTAGCTAGAATTACTTGTGTGAGCCACCAGTGCTTGTCTTTGATATAAATTTTGCCGGGGCTGGGAAGGTGGCTCAGTGGTAGAGTGCTTGCATTGCATTCATTGAGGCCCTGGGTTCGATTCCTCAGCACCACATAAGCAGAAAAAGCTGGAAGTGGCCCTGTGGCTCAAGTGGTATAGTACTAGCCTTCAGCTGAAAAACTGCTCAAGTGGTATAGTACTAGCCTTCAGCTGAAAAACTGAGGGACAGTGCCCAGGCCCAGAGTTCAGGCTCATGACTGACAAAAAAAAAAAAAGCCAACAGTTGTCATACTTTTTCCAAACTAAGCATTTATGCTGTTGACTATATGTACAAACATCTCTGTACAAAATGACTTGTACTTGATCTTTTTTTAAAAAATAAGTTTTTATTGTGAAAATTGTTAGGTTTTTAAAAGAGGTGGCCGAGTAAGAACAGCACCAGCACCCACGTGGTATTCAGGTAAGGGGTAGGTTTATTCAGTAGACCTGCTGGGACCAGACAAGGTTGGCACTCCAAGCGGCTGGCAAAGGAAAAAAAGGGGCAGTCTGGCCGCGGTTTAGGCCTTATATAGGGTAGGGGGTGGGGAAGGGTGTGTCCAGGTAAAGGGAAGTGGGATCAGGTGGGAGAAAGGTGTGGCCACATCAGGTTAAGATGTGACCTCATCGGATGCGGATGTGACCTCTTCCAGGTGTCCCAGTTGCCTAGGTAACGCAGGTACTGGGCGAGGTCTGTTCCCCATCCAGGAATGGACCTTACAAAAATACTGTACAGAGGGGTTATACTTACATGAGCAAGGTAATGAGTACATTTCTTTTTTTTTTTTT